CATAAAGTGGATTTTGCATCTCACACCGGACTCTTTTTGGACCGTTTCACTTTGCTGTCCAGTGATGGCACCGCCATCTTTATTTCTGAATCAACTGGCTCTGCTTAAGAAGGACGAGTGGCACCCTCTTCTGACTGGAAAAAGGTCCAGATGCGGGCATTATTTTTTTAATCAACCGGATCACAAAAATTTTACAATTCATCACTCATTTGAGCAATTGATTATTGTTATAAACTACAAAAAGGAAAAGGTAAAGAAATTGGGCATGTAGTTTGACCTGTGCTCTCTTTTGGGTGTAAAAGAGGTAAAGACTGCATTTTATCATCTGAGCAACATGGTTGTCATTGCACTGCATTTCAGAGATAGGCTCATTTAATTCAGTCATCAGATCTACATGAAAGCCCAGATCAAGAGGCCATAGCTCATTTAACAAGACGTTTTCCTGTGCTATTGTTCTTTGCATATATGCAAAGTGATGTCTCAATCTGAACTTTACTTGGACGATTAAAATATGTTTTGTTTTTCTTTTTATGTGTATATCCACATTTCAATGCACTTTAAAGGCACTTAGTGATACACAGTGTGTGATCTGAGTCCACTGTTTTGATCAGAATGTTAATTTACCCTGGCGTCTTCCAGCTGTTTTTTTTTTTTTTTTTATTCCTCTGATGAATTTCTTTAATAAATACATGCCCGAATTTAAAATTTAGCTAGAAAAAACAAACAAACTATGATCTGACAGGTAACAAGTCAGGATGTCATACAGCAAAGTCAAACAAAGTTTATTATGGTCGGCGTACACTTGTCTAACAAGACAGCACGTTAATCCGTAACAATAGCGCAGAGATCAGCCCTCCTACAACTAACAGGAAAATGCAAATCAACACAACACAAGCGTCGCCTAAATTTACATATTGCGTAAAATTGACAGCTTTATTACTTAATAAAGAAATGTTTGCTTTGTATGAGTCATTCTACAACCCGTTGACTGCAGCTGTTTCACTCGGCTCTAAGAACGATACAAACGAAGACACGAAAGTGGATTGAAAATTACTTACCCATTCAGCCCCGTGATTTCGCCTGATCAGAAAAATCCAGAGAGAACTTCACTGGGACCGATTCCAACAACTCAACCTACTAGCTAAAAAACATATTGTATTTATAGAACTGTTCAATCGCTTTATGTTATTTTTCACGGAGAACCCAGTCCAGGTAACTCTCCTGTTTGGATGGAGTCACATTGGGTCACTGTATGATCCCTTAGTGAGTCCCACGACGGACGGCGTTCAGTCCGCCATGCTAACGCAGGTACAAATGTCTCAGGCTAACTCCGAAGGTGGTCTGAACAAAGCCATATTCAGCTCACACAACATAGCAAAGCTACCACTGCTAACCATACAAAACAAACAAACAAACAAAAAAAGGCTTCTTCTTGGTTTAATGAAGGTTAGTAACATACGTTTCTCACTCAGTATTGACACCTAGTGGGGAAAATAACACAAAGAGAGAGAGAAGGGGGGAAAAAAAGTAAAAGTGTATTTAGTGAAAGAAGATACGTGTGCTTGCTATCTGTTCTGCATCTATTGTAAAAACAACCCATCTGAGCCTCTGAAACAGAAACAAGGTAAAAATCACTCTAAATAAATAAATAAACTCTGGGCTTCTGGTCTCTGCATCTAAATAGTGACTACAGTTTCTAAAGAAAAAAATAAGCTAAAGATTGACTAAACTAATTCCTTTGAATTGCCTTGTTGCTGAAAATGTGCTATATAAATAAAATTACCTTACCTTACCTTAAAAGTGAGTACTCCGCAGTCTCTAAATAATGATAGTAATCTAAGGATGAATCTAAGAAATGTTGTATTGGAATACTCCACAGTTTCTTGTGTGTGTGTGTGTGTGTGTGTGTGTGTGTGTGTGTGTGTGTGTGCGTGTGTGTGTGTGTGTGTTTGCGTATATGCCATCATACAGATTACACACAAACATATATACATATACTATTTATATACATATATAAAGAAACAAATTACATTTATGTATATGTATAAATGTAATTTGTTTCTTTTTTATAAGAGCACATTCTTTTCCAAGTTTGTTTTGTCCATTGGATGGGTTGTGGCACACCACAAACAGCACTTCTTTTTCAACAATGTTTTTTTCTGGTCAGTCTTCCATGTAGGCAAGGTTCAACATATTAGCTGTTAATCTCTGCGGTTCCTCCAGAGGCACCATGGGTGTCTTCACAGCTTCTCAGAGTAATAAAAAAAAAACTGTCGTAGAGTAATCATGTTTTTAGATGTGCCATACTCTTTATTTTTGAATTTAATATTATTCAGAGAGATTTTCAGTTTCTGGGAATTTGTCTGATAACCAAAATCTACTTTAAGTTTCTCTGCAGTTTGACCTCTGACCTGGCTGTTGCTGGTGGTCTTGGTCTTCATGATGCTGTTTAATATTCACAGAACAGTTGTATGTATATAGACATCAACATACAGGTGGACTCTATTTACTCCAAAGATGACATTTGGGTAAAAAGGGTTGCACTGGATTTTATTTTATGGAATCAGAGTAAAGAGGACTGAATACAAATACATGGCACACCTTTTCAGTGTTGATGTTTATACAGACACACACCTAATTCTTGTTGATTTTTCCATTTCCACATTTGTGGCTGTATCCAGGTACATCTTTCTTCAAGTTACTGGATGAAGAAAAAAAAATCATGAACGGACATGAAATGTGTTGAGTATTACATTTTTGGAGCACACAGACCATGACTGAGGATACATCTGTACAGACATCCTGTTCTTATAATTTTGGTGTTTTTTAAAAATTTACATGACTTTATATAAAGTTTTCTATACTTTCAAACACTTTATGACAGATATGCAAAGCTGCTCAGTTTTTGTGTTCCAGCATAGCTGGAACACAAAAAGTCAACTAGATTGAGAGATTAAAGTATTGTTGGAAAAATAATGGAGGACCTGTGGTGCAAAACACCGAGCAGATGAATGCAGGAAAAACTACTTTGCCTTTATTTCTTAAAGAAATTTAAAAAGAATACACCAACAATGAAAACTTCCATTTATTTTCACAAAACACAGTGTAAACATCTTTATTTTACATAAAGTGCATTTATTGGATATCAACTAAACTGGCTATTCAAGCAACTGATAGAAACTAACTGAGCAGGACACTGCAAGTAAAACATATTATCTTTTATTATGAGCCATTAGTAAAAAAATAAAATAAAATTAAGAAGATAGGAAGGGAAACAGTTATGAAATAATAAATTTGTTAACTCTTAGTTTCTCCCACAGATCTAACATTCATATTGTGACACTTGTTGAAAAATTGCCAAGCAATGTCAGGAGTAAATCACTCAGGTTTAGTTTATACCATGCATGAGAGTCACAATATCAAAAACTCATAAAAAGATCAGATTAGAGCTCCAAATAAGCCTTTTGGCTTGGAGATTCTGATAAAAGGCCAGTATGTAAACTTGTTCGTACATTTTTCTTTATTAATTTGTTGGTGTATTGGGAAGAACTACAGGCTCTAACTAAGTGAACATATGGTCATAGTTTAGGATTTTTATTTTTTTTTACTTTTTGTAAATTCACAGCAAGTTTTACACACATTATGCTTTGGAGACAAACTGTTCCCTCTTGTTATCAGATTAATGAGATCATCCTACACATTGGATTCATCCTTCTTCCTCCCAGAGTCGTCTGACAGACACAGTTCTTTAAGAAACGCCTTTTGATTTCAGCGTGACCATCTGTGCAAGTGCTTATTTAGAGGTGGATTTGGCCTGAAAGCCCGATAAATCATCTCTTTACTCAAAGACCCAATGCAACAATGAAATCATATGTTATCCATTATCCTGAGACATACTGTATATACTGTAAATAATATGTACAGGGTAAAGTCAGGAGACAGTGAATTTAAAGTCTCTTTAAAGACAGGGCAATATATAACAGTTATAGAAAAACTATTTACAAATTATATATGCTATATATAACAATTTACTTAGTAAAGTACAGCAAGCAAAGGCGTATGGAGGCCTCAGTCCTCAACGTGGCTGTCATAGGTTCAATTCCTGGCCTGTTGACCTTTGCTGTATGTCTTGCCCCTCTACCACAACAAACTTACTATCATAGGACAGCACAGCCAAAAAAATCCTTATAAAATAAGAAAGTAGTAGCCTACTCAGGGCAGAAGAGAATAGGCAACAGGAGTAACTGATTTCAAGGTATATCACGGCATGAGTTTTTCCACAAAATTTCTCCATCACACCTTTGATAGAGGCATAAGTGTTTTTTTTTGTTTGGTCAGAGATAAAGTACACCGGCAATGTTTGTAGGAGATTCCACAGCCAACAAAAATGTGTGCAAAACATTTAACTTGTTGGTAACACTTTATTTGAAGAGGGGTAAATAAGACTGTCATGACACTTTCATTAACATGACATATCACCTGTCATGAACATGAATAAGCCTTCATGAATATTTATGACTGTTGTCATAAAGCTTCATTCGGTAAATTATGACACTTTTAATACAAAGTTGACATTATTCAAAATGTCTTTGTTATGACAACTTGACATTAACCAAGAAATCATTACTGATATAAATTTGTTATAAAAGTATTACTGATTGCATTTTAAAAATTAGGTAACTTTATGTTATTAAAGGTAAAGTTTAAACAGTAAACAGTTCAACCTTGTATTAAAAGTGTCATAATTTACCGAATTACGCTTTATGACAACAGTCATAAATATTCATGAAGGCTTATTCATGTTCATGACAGGTGTTATGTCATGTTTATGACAGTGTCATGACAGTCTTATTCACCCCCCTTCAAATAAAGTGTTACCAACTTGTTCTGTCTAAGGTTAGAGTTGCATCTTTCACAAAAATGGTGCAACTGGGCGGATTAAAAAAAATTGAAATCTTTCTGGCATGATTCGGAGTTTTACAAAATAACCAGAGGCAACATGGAGAGGGGCTCATCTTTGTTGATTTGTGACCCAACTGCTTTTAAACAAGACATATGATTGTACAAATGGACTGAGCTAAATGTTCATATCTAGAAAGTTCCCAGAACCGTGTGTTAGTCAACTTCTGCCATGATCCATTATGTACAAATATGAAATATGTCGACACGTCAGCAAATGTCAGACCTTCACCCACATGAAGGTCAAACAAACATGCAGATGTTTTGAAGACATCAGTCCACAAATCTCATCACCGTTTGAGAATACTACAAGATTACACCTTTTTACCTTTGTGAGTTTTCATGTGATCCGTCAAGTCAATGCTCTGAGTGAAACAAGCACCACAGATTTCACATAAGTACAACTTTTTGACTGCATGAGTTCTCATATGCACAGTCAAATGACCTCCTTGACGAAAGTTTTTTCCACAAGTCGGACACGAGAAAGGCCTCTCGTCTGTGTGAGTTCTGATGTGTCGAGATAAATTTCTCTTGTCACTAAAACGTTTTCCACAGGTTGAGCATGGGAAAGGCTTCTCCCCCGTGTGGATTCTCGTGTGCTGAGATAATGTCCCACTATGCCTGAAACTTTTTCCACAAGTTAGACAGGAGAACGGCTTCTCACCTGTGTGAGTCCTTATATGTTTCGTCAAGACCATTTGCAGGGTAAAGCTTTTTCCACAAATCACACAGGGGAAAGGCTTCTCCCCGGTGTGAGTTCTCATGTGTACAGTCAAATGATTTTGTTGCCGAAAACTTTTTCCACAGACCGTGCACAAGAAAAGCTTCTCACCTGTGTGAATTCTCATGTGTTCAGACAAATAACTTCGGGCTAAAACTTTATCACAAACATTACAAGAGCACAGATTCTCATTTGTGTCTTTATTCTTCTGTTTTTTTACTTTTTTGTTGTCTACGTTGTCACGCCTACCTCCAGTTTTTTGACACCTTATATCTTGTTTCAGTTCTTTATCTCCATTTGACTCAGAGTTTTCACGATCAATTATTTCGTCGTATTGGTTCTCTTGAAGCCGGTTGCTGCTTGGATCTGGTTCCCCATTATCTCTTTCGTAAGAAGGAGTTATAACAAAGGCATCCGTCTCCTGTTTGATTTCAAGCTCTTCCTCCAGACTAATGCAGAGTTTGTCGTGTTCATCCTTTATCTGTGTAGATTCTGTCTCTTCATGTTCATCCTTTATCTGTACAGATTCTATCTCCTCATGTTCATCCTTTATCTGTAGAGATTCTGGATCTTCCCGATTCTCTTTCTGCCGGAGAGGTAGTTCCTTCTGTTTGTCTTTTATCTGTGGAAATCCTGCTTCCTCTTGGTCCAAACTTATGCATCTCCCCGTGTTGCAGAAACCCTGGTTAAGATGAACTCCCTTCTCTTCCCGTACCTCCTGCTGTTCAACATCTAAACAAGAAAAAGGATAAAAATGTTTAATAATGCAAATATAACAGCACTTTTATTACCTCAAAGTTTTTTTTATTAACAACCTCAACTGTTACAGCGTTGCAGATTGAATGGGTATAAGATCAAATAAAAACAAGAGCTACAAAATAATAGTTCTATAAACTGCATTCAATTAAAGATGTTTTTAAAAAGAATTGACCCATGGGTGTAAAGCAGGGGTCACCAACTCCAGTCCTCGAGGGCTACCATCCTGCAACTTTTAGATTCACCTCTGGTCTGAATTCCCTCACCAGCATTCATTCCTCTCTGCAATAGGCTGGAAACGAGCAGTTTATTTGATCCAGGTGTGTTTGAGCAGAGACGCGTCTAAAAGTTAAGGTCCCTTAGTTAAGGTCTCCCTCCATGAGAGCAGCCTGACTGACAGACTAGGCCACATACTATGTCATGTCTACACATTTACAGTTAACAGTTGCCAACTCAGCGACTTTCTTGCTATGTTTAGCAACATTTCAGACAAAAGATCGGCCAGAAAACTACAATTGACGCACCCCTACTTTAACTAAGAAATTTCACAGCAAACACAAATTAATATTTTAAGTGACACATAGTGGAAATTGACTTCATCAACAGTTTTCTCTTCATAAAATCAAGACTATATTGAGCTTCATAATTGACAGGAGTCCATAAGGTTCAATTATGAAATTGTGCATAGTTTTGATGGCACATTTTGAACAATTTTGAGAAATATTGTACTGCTTATGTCAATAAGAACAGAACACAGGATAAACAGACATGAAATTGAGGTAAAGTGAAATCAATCTGTGATAACAAGGATTTTTCCTTCAAAACAATAGTGGCACATATTGATCTTACCATTTTAATAAGACTACAATTTTAAAAATGTCTCATCAAATATAAACATTTATTTGAGTGAGTCTTGGAGATTATGCATTTCTTATGCTAACAAGAATTATTCTGCAAAAAACAACTTTCTTTGAACAACAGTATAAACTTAGTGACTGAGGGGTATAGATTTTGCAATAAATATAAGTACAACTTTTAGAGTAATAACTATAGCAGTTGAACTCGTAAATTAAATCAGAAAGCAAGAACTAAAAAGTCAATTGCTAAGACGGTTCAGTGTATTAGAAATTAATATATCATTAAATATTTTAGGTTATATTAACATGTTAACAGAGGACTCATTGGTATGTTTTAATTTCTAACGTGAACGCAGACAGTGTGCAAAAATACCGCAATATTTTATCTTTCGCCCAGAAAACAAAAACACGAAGTGCAAAAGGACGAAATAACACCAAGCCCCCACCACCATAAAATGATCACCTCGATCTTGTCATTAACCTGAAATTCAGATTCCTTTCAGCTTCGTTTTTCATTTAGCTTCTGAAATAATCATTTTAACGTTAAGATCTCCCCTACTATACTTCTTTGCACGTCTAAGATCAATAGAACAACAGCAGCACCTCTTATTCTCTGCAGGGTTACTTGAGGTTTCCAGCTGACATCAAGCAGTTTACGTTGGAGATCCAGCTGTTCCTCGTACTGGACGATGGTTTTATCAAACTCCGTGAATATTTCTTCAGCAGCAGCGGTCAGTCGCTCCTTGATGAAGTCTCTCAGAGACTGGGATAAAGACATTGTTGCTGCAGAGGCATCAGTAGACATATTGTAAAGCTAACTCTGCTAAGAGGCCGAAAATTCTTCTTTGCTGTGTGCTGGATATTAGGAAGAAGCGCATTTACTCATTATCGCCACCTGCTGGAAAGAACTAGAAATGTTAATCAATCGATCAATCAATCAAATGTTATTTGTATAGCACATTTCAGCAGCAAGGCATTTCAAAGTGCTTTACATAAATAAAATAAAAACAGCATGTGACATTGAATAAACAGTAAGAAAGAGATTTTGAGAGAACAAAAAAGATTAGAAAAGATAAAAACATTAAAACCCGCGCCCCTTTTAGGACTTCAGTTAAACGTCGTTTAACTGGGACTCTACCCTCTGGGAATTTAGTTAAAAACACCGTTTGACAAGGACTCCAACCTCTAGATTTTTCGGACTCTAACGTCTCGGAAATTCACCTACGTTTCTGTCGTTATCACACTTTTTGTCACGGAACTTAAGCGCCTGTCGTCGCCGGACTCCGCCGTCCGTTTAACACGGGATATCCAGGCCCCGCCGCCGGACAGGGCAAGGTCTTGTGCCTTGCAGCACCAGGCACCGTTCGCCTGTCACACGTAATTTTTGCGCTAGGACTACGCCGTCCTACACGAATCATTAAAACGTAAACAGTGAGGAAGATAAATGAAAATAAATTAATAAATAGATAAAAAGTAAATATAAAAACATTAAAAACATCAAAGACATCAAAACCCGCACTCTAATCCTAATTTAGCCATAGCAACTCTAAACAGGTGGGTTTTAAGTTGAGATTTAAAGGCGCCCAGTGTTTCAGCTGTTTTACAGTTTTCTGGAAGTTTGTTCCAAATTTGTGGTGCATAGAAACTGAATGCTGCTTCTCCTCATTTGGTTCTGGTTCTGGGGATGCAGAGCAGAACCAGAAGATCTGAGGGGTCTAGATGGCTGGTACAGCAATAACAGATCTTTAATGTATTGTGGTGCTAAACCGTTCAGTGATTTATAAACTAACAGTATTTTAAAGTCTATTCTTTGAGCTACAGGGAGCCAGTGTCGGGACTTTAATACTGGTGTTATGTGCTCTATCTTCCTGGTTTTAGTGAGAACACAAGCAGCGTTCTGGATCAGCTGCAGCTGTTTGATTGATTTATTAGTCAGATTTGTGAAGACGCTGTTGCAGTAATCAATGTGGCTAAAGATAAACGCATGGATGAGTTTCTCTAGATCGCGCCGAGACATAAGTCCTCTAATCCTGGTGATGTTCTTCAGGTGACAGAAGGCCGACTTTGTGACTGTCTTAATGTGGCTCTGAAGGTTCAGGTCAGAGTCCATCACTACTCCCAGGTTTCCCAGGTTAAAGTTTAATTCCAACCGCTGATTATTTATCTTAATTTGAAATGTTTATTTTGAGAACTAGTCTTCATTGCATGATTGATCATTGCGAATTAAGATTCTGTTGCTATGGTTACACACCATAACAAAATAGCAAAGTATGAAAAATATTGCTAATAAATCTGTCAAACTACAAACCATCCAAAACAGGAAGGAACAAAAAGGAACTTCAGCATAATAGTTGGAGAAACAGTAGCTTCTGAAGACTATGAGTGAGAGAAAACATTTTTCTTTAAGACAAAATATCAATTTCTATTCATCATAATTACAAAGCTGTATATGAAACATTACTTATGCCGATATTCACTTTGCTATTTTTATTCTACAACTTTGACAAACAGAAAAAAAAAACTGCAGCAGGCAACATTTAGCTACAATTGCATAGGTGGGTCCGTTTAAATTAATTACACTCAAGGTAAGACATTTTAATTTTGTAGGTAAGATGCAAACTATGCCCACTCATTTCTGTAAACAATGTCACAGAAATAAGTGGGCAAGATACAAATACATTTTTAAAAATGTGTGGAAAAAGTCTGGTATTTCAATATGCCAAAGTCATTATTATATAAATTCATTACAAAAAGTGGAATATTTCAAGACTTTCTTTCTTGCAATTTTGATGGCTGTGGCTTACGGAGAAGGAAAATAAAGAATTATATAGCTCAGTAAATTTTAATTTTTACACGAGGATGTCTTAAACAGAAATACCAAGGTTCATTTTCATGCAGTCAATTCGTGGCCGGGTCTCCTCTTGCATGAATTACTGCATCAGTGCGCAGTTGAGTAGAGGCAATCAGTCTGTGGCCCTGTGCAGGTGCAATCGAAGCCCAGACTATTTTGGTAGCTGCCTTCATGTAATCTTTCTCCTGATAACGGTCCATAGATTTTCCACGGGGTTCAGGTCTGTGGAGTTTGCTGGCCAATCCAGAACAGGAACATTGTGGTCATTTAACCAGCTTTTGGTACCACTGGTCATGTGACTGGTGACTCAAGCCTCAGTCCACTTCTTATGAAGCTTCCCTAAATTCTTGAATGGATTTTGTTTCACTAGCCTCTCAAAGATGTGATTATTCCTGTTGCTCCCTTTTTTACTCCCACTCAACTTTCCATAAATACACTTAAATAAAACACCCTATTGACAAGCAGCTTCTTTAGCAGTGACCTTTTCAGATTAATCAGTTAATTAGATGATTATTGTGTGACACAATGTTTACAACATGTAACTTTTCCACAATATTCTACTTTACTGAGAGACTGTCATCTGGGTTTTCATGATCTAAAAGCTATAATCATCAAAATTTCAACAAATAAAGGCTTAAAATATTTCACTGTAGGTGTAACAAATCTTTATAAGTTTCACATTCTGAAATGTTTTTCACATTATTAGATTTGTTTTAGATGTACCTGCATTTAATGTCCTGCTTAATAATGAATATAGTTTTACATTCATTACACTTCACAGACAGACCTTTCCTTTTAAGAGAACTGTTTAGTGATGAAAAGCTGAGCCCAACTTTTCTGGCTGTTTTGATATTCCCCTCATAGTTTAAGAGCATTATGAAATTTACAATATTACACCTGCTCACCTTGGTGTGTTTACTGAAACAGCTAACGCGCATGGGTTCTCATGTGTCGGGATAAATTTCCTCGTTCGCTGAAACTTCTTCCACAGATCACACACAACAGCGGCTTCTCTCCTGTGTGACTTCTCATGTGCCGGGTCAGCGAAATCTGCAGGGTGAAGCTTTTTCCACAAGTCAAACAGGAGAAAGGCCTCTCGCCAGTATGAGTTCTCATATGAACGGTCAGATGAGTTCTTTGGCCAAAGCTTTTTCCACAGGTCACACACGAGAAAGGCTTTTCACCAGTGTGAGTTCTCACGTGACGCGTCAACGCAATTCTCATGGTAAAGCTTTTTCCACAAGTCAAACAGGAGAAAGGCCTCTCGCCTGTGTGAGTTCTCATATGAACAGTCAAATGATACCTCTGACCAAATTTTTTTCCACAGGTCACGCAGGAAAACGGCTTCTCACCGGTGTGTGTTCTCACATGCTTAGTCAAATTGCTCCGAGTAAAAAGTTTACCACAAACTTTACAAGAACACAGATTGTTATTCAGGTGTGCTTTCTTCTGTCTTATAACCTTTGGGTTGTCTAGATCGCCACTGTAACCTCTGATTTTCTGACACCATTTTTTCTGCTTCAGTTCTTCCTCTCTAGCTCTGCTTGATCCTGATTCTTCATGGTGGCTTCTTTCCTGGTCAGAAGAGATCTGGACGGTGTCTTGGTTCCAGTTTGGTTCTGGGCTCAACAAAGAGACATCTGGTTCCCGGTTCTCTCCTTCTTCATCAATAGGACTCACTATAATGATATCAAACTCCTGCTTCAGTTCAAGCTGCTCTTTCTCCAGACTGATGCAACATTCATCCTCCTCTTCTTTGATCTGTGCTAGTTCTGGTTCCTCTTTTATCTGGGGAGATTCTGGTTCATCCTGTTCCTGTTGGCCCAAACTGGAGTTCTTGTCCTGGTTGCAGAGCTGCTGGTCAGTAATAACCTCCTCCTTCTTCCAGACAAAATGCTCTGGGAGGTCTAAAATAGCAAACAGGTAGAAATGCTGATTAACATGGTTATGAGGAAAAAAAAAACAAAAAAACAGGTGATTTTCACGTTTTTATATAACTCTAGATATTTTGGAAAGCAGTGGTCATACGATTCCAATAAATAGTACCAATCATCAGCAGGTTGTTTTGAGTTACTATAATTTGATCACGCCAGTCGACTGATCCAGAAAGTGATCAAAACAAAACAAAAAAAGTTCACTTTCTTTTGTTTTTGAAAAGTGAAGAAAAGAGACACTTCTTCATCAACTATCAATCAATATATCAACATAACTCAAAAATATATTGTGAGTTCTGATGGGCCTTTGTTATTTGTCACAACATTGATCCATGAATTTGTTTTAACTTAATTATTAGTCACAACATTAATTTATGAATCTGATAACTGAAATCAAGGTAATGGTCAATTAAATAATACTTCCTCAATCTTAGCTGCATTACGGAAATGTTTTAGTAAACTGTCAGAAGAGCCAACAGAAACAAACTACTGATTCATTTCAGTAGTTTGTTTCATTCATTCATTTCAGCAGCGGTCATACGAAAGGCTCCTCAGCCGTTCTCATTACAGGGGATAAACTCATAATGACCAGGGTAAAATCCCAAAGCTTTTACTCAAACTGATTTTATTCTTTTAAACTCATTCACACACTTCTGAAAATATGACTCCTCTGTTTTCTGAAAATAAAAGGGTCATATCTTTAGATTTTTATCAGAAACACTCGTGTTATTAAAATTTACTAGACTAGACTGATTTAATCAGACTGTTTTAATTATTTTACCCATAAAGTCCCTCAAACCAGACTGTTCTGCATCTCTGTGATCAGTATTTCTTTGCTTTGATGGTTCATACCTATTCTCTGTAGATCTATATGGGGTTTCCAGCAGATTTCCAGCAGTCTCCGCTGACGATCCAGCTGGGCCTCGTACTCGACGATGGTTTTATCAAACTCTGTGAATATTTCTTCAGCAGCAGCGGTCAGTCGCTCCCTGATAAAGTCTCTCAGAGACTGAGATGAAGACATTGTTGGTGTGGAAACTCAAATATTCAGCTCATAAGACACAGTAGAAATAAGCTAACTGTGCTAACAGACACAGAAAATCTGTTACCAAGAATGAAACCTGTTGACTCATTATCGCCACCTGCTGGAGGGATGCATTTAAGATAAGGTAAAGTGATTTTATTTATATAACACATTTTCACCAACAAGGCAATTCAAAATGCTTTACATGAATTAGAACGAAATACAAACAAAATAACAAAACAAAGGAAAAAGCAAAAGAAAAAAAGTAAAAAAACCACATATTAGTTGGTCCCTCCTATTTAAGAATAAGTGGATTTTTTTGTTTTGTGTGTCTGCTGTGACAGCTGCTGACAGACTGCATGGGGGTAAAACAGATCACTGTACCAATATTTAAAATAAAGACAAGTGTGACTTCAAACCACTTTTATTAGCAATAACTTGGATACAATTTCAAGTTTCTCACAGCTGGTCTCAAGGTCCATCAAAGGTCTACAATCATCATCATCAGATTTATTACTGTCAAGCAGATCACTGCCCTCTTCAGAAACTGTAACCATAAAGGCAGAAGCAGTGGATTGTTCCATGTATTATAATTGTAATACTTATTGTACTGTTACAATAAGTACAATGTAAAATATGCAAATGTTAGATGTCACAATATCCACCCTTAAACGGAGACAAATCCGAGGCATGGAAGTATGTTGTCGAACAAAAATGTAATGCTTGAGATACTCTGTGAGGGATTTACCCCCTTCCTAACAGGTGTTGTTTTTGTACGTCTGTATTCTAATTTATCTGGTAAATGTATTTTTTGTTTGGAGGAAGTAACTTGCTTTATTTAATATTTTGTTTTAATCATTCTCTCTCCTCTTTGAGGTCATCTGGTTACGTGTTGCCATGGAAGCGCGCCCATGACCAGTGCTGACAAGGACCTGGTGTTTTCAATAAGCCTCACTGGGAAAATCCATTGTTTGAGAGGGAGGGGAGTTTTCGGATTTTTTTCGCATAAAGAAAAAATTCAGAGCTCTACCATTTCTGGATTCTGTCTGATTTCTGATCGCAACACTCTTCCATCTTAGCTGCCTTACAGACTTATGTCTTAACACTGAAAATTACTTCATCCCAGGGAAAGTTTTTCCACAGTTCTTGATGAGAACGACCTCTCATTTGTGTCTTTTTATGTGACTAGTTAACTGAGTTTTTTGAATGAACCTTTTTCCACATGTCGTACACAAGTGAGGCTTGTGGCCCGAGTGAATTTTATTGTGCCGAGATAAATTTCCACTATTGTTGAAGCGTCTTCCACAGATCTTACATGACAAAGCCTTCTCACCTGTGTGAGTTTGAATGTGACTGGTCAATTGAGATTTTTGAATAAATGCTTTTCCACACACCACACACAAATGAGGCCTGTGGCCTGAGTGAATTTTTTCGTGCCGAGATAAATTTGTGCCACTTTTAAACCGTTTTCCACAGATCTTACATGAAAACGGTCTCTGATCTGTGTGTGTTTGCATGTGACACAATAACTGATTTTTTTGAATAAACCGTTTTCCACATGTTACACATAAATGAGGTTTGTCCCCTGAGTGAATTTTTTTGTGCTGAGATAAATTTGCAGCATGTCTAAAGCCTTTTCCACACGTCACGCACAAGAAAGGCCTCTCACCGGTGTGAGTTGTCTTGTGAGAAACTTCACCATCCCACAAATTCTCCTTCATCTGCCTTTTCTTCTGTTTCTCTACTTTTGGCTTGTCTACAATGTCTCTGATTTTCTGACGCCCTTTAATTTGTCTCAGTTTAGCATCTGTACTTGATCCGGAGTCTTCATTGTCGCTTCTTCCCTGGTTTTGGTTCACATTGTCAGAAGAGAACTGGACGACGAGCTGGTCGAAGTTTGGTACAGTTTGTCTGAGGTTTCTCTCGTCATAGTCAGGATTTTCTATGAAGGTATCAGTCTCTTGATTCATTTCAAACGGTTCAATCTGTATCTGTGGAAGTTCTGGTTCATCTTGTTCCTTTTTTACAAAGAGTGGGTCCAGATCACAGGGGTTCTGATGCATCTGCTCAAGTCCTGGATCTTCCTGGTTCTGTCCTAGAGGTTTTGTTTCCTTTTGGTCCAAATTAGAATGACTCTCCTGCTCATTGAACAGATGTGAAATGTCTGGAGAGGCAACAAAAGAAAAGTGACGATAAATGTGATTATAAGAAATAACACTTCACATTTCTAATTTATGCATTTAAAATGTTTTGGACGTTATTTAATCTTCTTTAGTGTTACAGTTTTATATTTGGTCCTTTATAAAAGATGAATCTGCTAATGTTTAGAACTGACAATTGTAATCATTTCTCTTCTGAAAAGCATTTTTATAAATGTACATACTTCTGACTGTCGAAGTCTCAACGTGTTTGGAAACAGGTTTTAGACTGCTCTGCCCATAATACCAGAAGAAATACTTGAAGAAAAACTTACATTTGTCAGACGCGTAGTGAGTTTGGATTTGATTCATAGATTATTCACCTATTTTGATCAGGGATGGATTTTAACGTGTTGGGGCAGCTACACAATAAAAACGTCTGCTCTGGTTTGAAAAATATTTAGACTCCTGAAACCTGAGCTGGACGTTTTACTCTAAAATAATTGCTCAAACCTTGTGATTTGTGACAGTCTTATAAAGGCCGATTTCAGTGCTTATTTTAAACCAGTTAAAATATATTTTTTTTCTTTACAAGTTCAAATAAGACAACCTGTATGTCTGTGATCAGTAAAGCAACATCAGTTCCTCTGGTGGTTCATACCTATTCTCTGCAGCTCTATTCTGGGTTTCCAGCAGATTTCCAGCAGTCTCCGCTGACGATCCAGCTCTTCCTCGTACTGGACGATGGTTTTATCAAACTCTGTGAATATTTCTTCAGCTGCTGCGGTCAGTCGCTCCCTGATAAGCTCTCTTAAAGACGTAGATGAAGACATTGTTGCTGCAGAAACACAAATATTCAACCCGGAAGACACGATAGAGGAAAGCTAACTCTGCTAAAAGACGCAGAAAGTCTTCTTCTTGGACTTCGTGGCGGCTGGGAAGCAACGTTTTGGTTCATTACCGCCACCTATTGGAATGAAGTGTGGGTAACGATGGTAAATATGTACAAAATACATTTATAACTGTCTTTTAATAAGTAATATCTTCTCTTCTAATAAGAGAAGATATTGAATGCCTTCTCAAGATTGCAGAGCAGGGTTGTATCCAGGAAGTTTCTAAAGAGAGATAAATGGGGACCAGCAATGACCTGGGAGTGTCACAAAAATAACCAAGATAGGAAGCAGGACTGGAATAAATTGTATGAGTTACTCAACATGAAGGTCAAAGATTGAGATTAATATAAAGCACACATTCTAAAGCTATTTTCTCTCCCGATTATACAAATATAATCAATATAAGATTTTCCTCATGGAGGGTGTTTGAGATTACATTTTTCTGAGCAGTGAGTCTCTGAACCTCATGGTAGAAAATGTTTAGAATTGTACAAAAACTTGTACAATTCTGTTTAATACCTGTACAATTATTAAACAGATCATTGTAGCAATATTCACAACAAAGAAACAAGAGTGTCCTCAAACCAGTTTTATTAGCAATGAATACTTGAATTACATTTCAAACTGTAGAAAATTACTGTCAAGCTTTTAACTAGAGACATGACAAACAGAAGTGGACCCCAAATTCCTCACAGATGGTCTCACAGTCCTGTTCATCAAAGGCTGACAATCATCTTCATCAGATATATTACTTTCAGGCAGAACGTTGTCCTCTTCAGAAACAGTAACCATAAAGGTAGAAGCGGTAGCTTTTTTGCATGTATAAAACTTTTAAGTGAAATGTTTAAAGTACAGTACAAAACATGAAAATGTTAGACGTCACAATATCCAGTTTTGTTTTTTCTATTGGAGTTTTATAACCTTTCAACACAACTCAAGCAACAACACAACAGCTCAGAGCCAGTGTGACCAACTGAACACAAACAGACCTGAGGCATATGACTATGTTGTCAGACAAAAATGTGCTGCCTGAGACGCCTCAATGCTCCAATGTTTCCACAAACATTGTAAGTTACTACATCGCCAGAAAGGTTTTCCACAGGTCTTAATGTGAACTGCCTCTCACTTGTGTGTTTCTATGTGAGTGGTTAACTGATAGTTTCGAAGAAATCCTCTTCCACATGTTGCACATGAATAAGGCCTGTGGCTTAAGTGATTTTTTTTGTGCCGAGATAAATTTCCACGACTTTTGAAGCGTTTTCCACAGACTTCACATGAGAACGCCTTCTCACCTGTATGAACTAGAATGTGACTCGTTAATTGACGTCTTACAGAAAACGTTTTTCCACACACCGGACACAAATGAGACTTAAGGTTCGCGTGACTTTTAGTGTGCTTAGATAAATTTCCACTATTGCCAAAGCATAATCCACAGATCTCACAGGAGAGCCGTCTCTCATCTGTGTGTGTTGGCATGTGACGCATTAACTGAACTTTTCGAATGAACTGTTTTCCACATGTCGTACATGAATGAGGTTTGTTGCCTGAGTGAATTTTTTTGTGTCGAGATAAAGTTCCACTAGTGCTAAAGCCTTTTCCACATGTCGGACACAAATGAGACTTAAAGCTCGCATGACTTTTAGTGTGCTTGGATAAATTTCCACTATTGCCGAAGCGTTTTCCACAGATCTTACCTGAGAGCCGTCTCTCATCCGTGTGTGTTCGCATGTGACGCATTAAATTAAAATTTTGAATGAACCGTTTTCCACATGTCATACATGAATGAGGTTTGTGGCCTGAGTGAATTTTTTTGTGTCGAGATAAAGTTCCACTAGTGCTAAAGCCTTTTCCACATGTCGGACACAAGAAAGGCCTCTTACTGGTCGGAGTTGTTGTACGAGAAACTTCACCATCCCATAAACTCTCCTTCATCTGTTTCTCTACTTTTGGTTTGTCTATGTTGTCACAATTCCTTCTGATTTTCTGATGCCCTTTAATTTGTCTCAGTTTAGCATCTGTACTTGATCCGGAGTCTTCATTGTCACTTCTTTCCTGGTTTTGGTTCACATTGTCAGAAGAGAACTGGACGACGAGCTGGTCGAAGTTTGGTACAGTTTGTCTGAGGTTTCTCTCGTCATAGTCAGGATTTTCTATGAAGGTATCAGTCTCTTGATTCATTTCAAACGGTTCAATCTGTATCTGTGGAAGTTCTGGTTCATCTTGTTCCTTTTTTACAAAGAGTGGGTCCAGATCACAGTGGTTCTGATGCATCTGCTCAAGTCCTGGATCTTCCTGGTTCTCTCCTAGAGGTTTTGATTCCCATTGGTCCAAATTAAAATGACTCTCCTGCTCATTGAACAGCTGTGAAATGTCTGGAGAGGCAACAAAAGAAAAGTGATGACATATTATTACAAGAAAGAACACTTCACTTTTCTAATTTTATGCATTTAAAACGTTTTGGACGTTATTTAACCCTCTTTAGTGTTATAGAAACACAGATCTTTGATATTTAGTCCTTTATAAAATATTAATCTACTAATTTTTTGAACTATTGATAATTATAAAATGCATCTGTCATTTTTCTTCTGGATAGCATTTATATGAATATATTTATCTTTGCCGATCACCTGGATTGGCTGTTAATTTTTC